CCTTCGTGGTACCGGGCACGTACTCCCCACAATGCCCCGAGACCCGGGACGGGCATCCCTGTACGTTGCATGTGTCTCTTCGTGAGATGTGAATGGGGTAGTGCAGATAGCACCAGCCGAATCAAGGATAATCAACATCTGTCGCTGTATAGGGCCCCGGGTTGTAAGTGATGGAGCTCGCGACGAAAACAACACTGTGCCGGACTACATCGCTGCCAGATGTTTGCCGCCTCATCGTGGTACGAAGACCACTGATCACCTCTGCGCACGTTATCGGCGTCCCTTCTATCGATGCCTGGTGCTAACATCATGTGTTTGGCGAGCTTTCTCATCCGCCAGACACTGCGGTGACGTTGGTTACCGTGTTGCAGAACCGTGATTGATAATATCGATGAACTCATGCTTGGTAGTACGAAGTTGTTCCGCACGGCCGAGTGACACACGAACCATCTGCAGAGTTCTAGATCTCGTCGATGTTATGATGTTTGAGGCCCGGGGTTCACCCATGGCGGCATCTGCACCAACTTGAGACCCATTTTGGGCATCTATGTATGTGAAATATATCTAGATCTTCTGAGGGTAATACGTTGACGTTCGGTAGCACCTCCCACGCACGCCGGACCGCTGCAGCTTCCAAGGTCTGAACGATGATGTGCGTGTCTCTAATTTTCATAAGCGAAAACAAAACTGCCTCGAGCTCTGTTGCTATACAAGACAAGAACCCCGTCCGGATAGGTAACGAACGTAGCCTCTAACCTCGGCATAGGTCTCCAGCGTGACTCGGGTGTACGCTTGGCGTTCGGATTTCGATTGTAAATCGGTTTGTTGACTTGTGAAACCGCAGAACCTTGGATCCATTTGGCTTGGGGTCTTTTAAAAGTCCTAGATGCCGTGGCTCGGCACGTTATCTCGGACTGCCTTGCGAAAGGAGACCCGCCACTTTGGGTCCTGGTCAGTTTTCGTGGCAATTGGAGCCCGGGGTATAGTGTCCTCAATCGATGGCCTTGCAGAAGTCCTCGATGACAATTAAGTTCGGATGGGGGATAATAAGATTGTGGCTCTCTGGGAGATAGAGATCCAAGATGAAGGTATATGAGCACGTTCGATCAACTCTTCCGGTTTGACAGAAGACAGCGCTTCACATCTTGTCATTCCGCATTCGTAGGACGCTTTGACTTGTGAGTGTTCGCCAGTTCCCGCACAAATAGAAGGTCAGATCCCTTGCGAACGACTGTTTCTCCAGCCCGTATGGGCCACTACCAAAGGGCCCCGGTCGAAGGAATGCCATGGAAGATTTCATTAATCTTGTCTCATCTACCAAAGAAGCTTGATTTTATGAAGCAGACTCAAAATGCCCTAAGATTCGGGCCTGAACACGGCTATCGAGTCAGGTCTGAACTTGCCCAAATAATCCCGGCCAGGCTCAGCAGCCAGGCGTCGGCCATATGACGGCGTCGTACTGCTTGTTGAGATGGCGACGGCACTTTGATTATCAGTGCAGCCAAAGTGACAGTAAATGCAGATTTTGACCCTGCCCTGGGCCCCAGATCGACGGACCTTGAGGCCCAGACACCAAGCCATCTCAAAGGCGTCAGCGAAGCCGTCATTCTGGTTGAAGAGTGCAAGGCTGCCAGTGGCCAACGCCTTCATAGCCTCCAGCTGCTTGTCGACCATAGCGCGGAGGAGACGCGCCTGTTATGTCACCTAGTGGGTAGAAGGGGCCTCTTTCCTGCGTCGTCGATAGGTACAATCTCACGGACCTCCTTCGTCAGCAAGAAATGGCTCACTTCATCCTGCACCTAGGAGGGTTCTAACATCCCCTGTACTTGAATGCCAAAGATCTTGATCCTCCACTAGGGCTTTGACGATGGAGACGGTCTGCTGCAATATACCGACAGCCAGAATATCTGGCTAGTCGAAATTCTCTCTCCCCAGTATTGTGGGTTAAGCTAAATGTCGCTGCAGGTTTGCGACTGATAGGGTGCAAGCAAAGACCACGGAATCAACTGAATTCTCCCAGGCCACACGCGATTTGTTGTCTGCAACAAATCAACGGGCGGCTGGAGCCTTCGGAATGAAGATGGGCACTGTAATTGTCCGCAAATTCAGACAGGCATAAGTGAAGTCTCGTAGAATTTGCGGACCCGGGGTTGGTTGTTGTCATTATTGACATTTCAAAAGCCTCATGGCGTTGAGCATTCATATCGCCTATTTTGTGGCGAGGTTGAAAGTTGAAATAAAAGGCTCTAGGAGACCTGCTGCGAGGGGAATCGACCTTGATACCAGATCCGGTTGGACCGGAGGTGTGGCTATCCTGATCAAAGGAGCCAAAATGAGCCCAGCCTCTATTATTCCGAATCCACAAGCTAAGGGGACTAATCGAAGGTAGGATGGCCATTGAGTACCACCGAATACGACTACATGGCCCCGGGGCTTCAGATTTTCTCAGAGTGCGAACGAGGTCGATCACGGTGTAGTGTTCGTCGTCAATGTGTTGTGTTGTTGACACGGAGGGATCGAGAAGACAAAGAAATACAACAGCAATGTGAATGTGTGTATACCGGACAGGATGGACTAAGTCCTGCTAGATTTTTCTGGTGTTTCATAGGGGTACATTCAGGATCATATGAGAAATTAATCGATAGATGAAATTTGGGACAATAGACCCGTGCTCTTGTGCCAGAATTATGCATTGTAACGTCGTGTACTGTGAGGCTTACGCATGGCCTGTAAGGTTTCTCATGAGCCGTCCTGCGACTATCCAAAACGGAAGGGCTGAGAAACTAAGTTATAGAGTCGAAGGGGACGGCGTTACGTAGCTCCTTGGAGTCTGGCGGCATATGGTGGCTGAAAGATTGGGCCAGCCAACAGCTCGGCACGGAGAGAATCCTGCCAACCAAGAGCAAAGCCAAGTGAAGTCAAAAGAGACGCAACGAGGATGAGCACGAGAGAATCGAGGTGGCATGAATACAGAACATGGCAGTAGCCTCACTTTATTTGCCAGCATCGTTGGTTGTGATATCCCCGAATTTCCCTCAGGAAAGCCGCCCTCTGTGGCAGGTTTCACATGAAAAGTTCTGGTGTTGTCGCGGTCCTTGATTATGTTCTCTACAAGAAGTCAGCGTCTGCGCCACGAACGACAACGGAGAAAGATTCGGCACTGACCCTCTTCATTTGCGCAGATGCTTCCAGTATGTTCAGCGCAACGGCCGAAGTGGCAAGGCCACACATCAGGGCCACGAGAGTTGTTACTTGAGCGACGCGGAATATTTGTGGTAGGCGCCCCAGCTCGGGAAGGGAAGGGTCTGGCAGGTTAAGAAGATCGCAACGTAGAATCGTCGGTGCTGGCCAGCGTGATGTGCTTGTCGCATCCAGAGTCGGCATCGCCGTCCGGGCTAGGTAGAGAGATCGGGTTTCGATGAGGAGAACGCGCCTGCAGCGCTGGAGGCAGAATCATCGGCGAGGCTGAAGTTGTGGAAGGCATGGCCGATGAGTCGGCTGTGGTCGGCCATGGGAGGAAGTGCAAGCGGTCTGGCGGAGGGAGCCTGCGCGCGAATCGAGTCGAGAGCCTCTTGGGCATGGGTGAGTGAGGTCCAATGTGGAGAAGGTCTCTGACGATAGGATACGTCTTGCTGTCCAGGTATATAAGAAAGACAGAGATGACCAAGGGTGACACCGAACACGATAAGGGCGATAGCGAAGGCGACGGGTACGGACGATGAATGTGACGGCCGTGGCGATGGGGGACGAAGCCGGACGGTGCATATGGCGAGGACGACGGAGGTGATAACGGCAAGGACAGTGATCTTTGAGCTCCCTGGAGGCAGCTGCGTGCTGTGAGTCCCAGGGTGGTCTTGCTTCCCTATGAGGGAGGAAGGGAAGGTGGGCGATGAGAGTATCAACGAATCTGGGAAGAAGCAGGAAGTTCCGATACTTTTTCTATGCGCTCCATCATTAGGCAAGGTAGTTGGCAATACATCACTTTTTCCCACACCTGTGACTTCTGCCGGAATTTGTCCCCGCAAGCCTCTGGGCGGAAGCACCCATGCAAACTCTCTCTGCTTCAACCCAAAGTTCGCTCAGAGGCAGCTTCTTCCTTTGGTTACTTGCAAACGGATTCTGCCTGGCTTTCGACCGGCTTCCCGTGGCTCCCCACCACATTGCGCTTTCCCGCGATGTTTGTTCTTCCTCGATGCCCCGCGAGGATTGCTGTTGCCACTTGTTTGCCAATCCAACCGAACAGTAAGGAAGGCACTTCCCCAGGCTGTTGCACACTTACTTCACTGTCCTTTCCAGGCTTCTTTGTCTTGTGGCTTTCGCAGCCATCCGTCCGGGAAAACCCAACGTCACACAAACATTCCACAACCACAGCATCCCAACAGCATAGCACTTTTCACTGTGACCACACAAACCGCACACGCTAGAGTCACGTCAACATCCAACATCAAACTACAAGGCATTACCTCTACAACGCACAAATGGCTCGGCCCCTCACTTTGCCACCAGAGCTTACTGCCGTAGGGACAACTTCCATGCAACGAGTCCGCGGATACGGATTCGGCGTGCCAGAGCCCAACAACGACGAAAAGGAATATGGTTTCGATAATTCTGAATACGAGCTGTCATCCCAGAGCAGGTGGCAGGCCTTCATGTCAGACCGCAGACTCTTGCCCTAGCTTGGCGACAAGCTTGACATCCTCCACCTCGTCACACCTTTGGACCTAGCTCTTTTTCTTTACGCCATGGGACCAGTTGACCCGAGCTCCCCTCCCCTTTGCTTCAAGGAGTTGTACTTGGCAATCAGACCGAAAGACAAGAACCCCTTAGGATTTCCATCGAAAGAGGCAGCCACGGTCCTACACTTTTCCTCGCGGTTAGGATTCTCATTGTCTCCGGAGCGGAGACTAGAACTCCAGCAGTTTCTCACCGGGCCGACACCACACCCCGATGCCCGCACACATCCGAACAACATACCGAATGCAAATTCCGCTTGCGCTGTTCTAGTCGCTATGGTGTTTCAATTCATACGGCACACGGTGGAGTACATCTCGCTCTACATTGAGGCAGACATCCTCCACGATGTTCGGACTTTCATGAGCGACGCGAACATCAATTCTGCTTCTCAGCAATACGAGGACGGCAAGCCTTTCCCACACATCAAGCTGTTCGCTTGGAGGTCCAGCTTGTTGCATCCACAGGGCTCGAAGATCAGTTTGGACCGTGCAGTGAACTTCGTCACTTGGGCCAAGATCTGGGCATTCGAAATCTACGGAACCATTCACCCCGAGGTGTGCCGGGTCTTCCAGTATACTCAAGAAGCCCTACATGGCAGCTGCATTACCAATCTAAATCTTCGCGACACTTTTATGTTCTACCACGACTTGAATCGCTTCATCAACCACTTGCCAAACGTCGTCCACTTCAGCCTGAACCTTGATCACGACCTGGTTGACGCCGATGAAGCCACCGAGTTGGTTGAACCGCTGCCGAGCCACGTGATTAATTGTCTGCAGCCTTTAGCTCGCAAGTTGCAATCACTTACCTTGGTCATCGTAGGCACTGATAATACTGCTTGTGGCATTGACGATCTCGTCTCAACACTCTCATGGTTCCGATCCTTGCGGAAGCTATGTATTGGTACGTGGTGTTTTAGGGTCGACCTTCTACCCAATCTACCGCAGTCAATCGAACACCTGGATATCCGAGGCTCGGGGGACCAAAGGGGCGAAGATGTTTTGATTAGCCACGCTGTGTTGTCTTATCTTTGGCAGCCCCCGCAACCTGAGCTTCCGCAAGTAGCATGGCTACCAAACCTGCAGGTACTCAGAATCCCATTCAATGTTGTCCCTGTTCCTTTCAATAGGTCGCTTCGGGCAGAAATGAATGAAGAAGACTGACGCTGAAATTTCGAGATAGTGATAGTATGGTAGAAAAGAATGGTTATCCTGTTAACAGTGCTTGCTATCGTCCCTGATGTCCCTGTTGGCTCTATTGATTTGACTACCAAAGGCCTTAGTCGCTCTTAGAAGCCTGCATTTGGATTCACGGTGGACATGCGGACGACACGGGTCACGAGAATAACAAGTTGTCCCAAACCAATACCCCATCCGGGAAGCCAACCTCATGGACGGGAGGCTCCTGATGAAACGAGCGAGTTTTGCCGAGGGCATTGCATCCCGCCGGGTTGACATGGGGAACGCTGCCAGGGGGCCGGTGGATCCGATACGTCTTGGCCGGCAGGAATTGCCGGGCATTGCGGCCGTGCAGGCGGTTCACTGAATGCGGCTGGCATCCCCCGGGATGCCAGAGTGATGATGTTGTCTTGGCGCAGTCTGATGAATCTTGCACTTTCAGATGAATGGGCTGATAAATGGAATGGGCTATTCGTAATGCTATGTCGTGATGCTACGTGAATCACTGTTTTCATGTTGAACACGCTGCATGCAGAGAGAAATGGCGAAGAAAATTCACTGTTGTGCCCCATTAGTGTACACCTCGGCGACAACCTGCCTTGCACGGAGAATTCGCATAGCGCCAAATGCTCCGCCCGGAGCGATCCGAAGCAATCGTGGGGCGTACGAGCCCTTCGTATTCGAGGAGCCATTGAACCACCAGATCTGGTACCGGGGGCACTGCTCTGTAACCCGTTTCAGAAACTCGAGACGAACCTGAAGTTGTATTTCCCAATGTTCCCTTCCTCCATCGTCCCAACCCAGCTTCCCTCTTCGTCCAGAAACCGTCTCATGATCCGCCGTGTGGTTTAAGCATCGTCCGGATAGAGTAAAAGGCTCGTCGCTGGCAGGAAGGGTTGGGGTCCGGATGAGTCCGTTCGGAGGCCGAGTGCGGCTTCGATCTGGAGAACTAGGGGGTGGGAGCCAGCGATCCCTGGCGCTGAGCCGCAATTAACCACAACGTTGTTTGGGACTGGGTTTGGAGGACCGAGTCTTTCGCAGAGTCGAAACAATCGGCGGTATAAAGACTCGCGCTCTCGGCGCGGGCTGATCTACTGCTATCCTTTTCCCTCGTCAAGCTAGTCTTCCCAGTTTTCTTTGATCAATCCTTGTGCAACTCAACTTTCATTCTTTCCGCTGTGCGGCTAAACATTCACTATTTACCTTACAAACAACTCATTTGTTCCCAACATACAACTCTTTCACTCCTGTCAAAATGCAGTTCTCCATCACCGCCATCATCCTCGGCCTCGCCGCCGTCTCCTCCGCCGCCATCGCCGACGTCGAGGGCGTGCGCAACGTCGAGCGCAACTCCATCGTTCTCGACGCCCGCCAGGCCAAGAAGGCCACGGGCGCGTGCTGCATTCCCAACACGTCGCTGAAGCAGGATGCTTGCACTGATGCGGCGGGCGCGGCGGGCAAGTGTGTGCCTGGAGGGCCTACTGCTTGTAAGTCATGAGTTCTCAACTACTGCGAGCTCATGCGACATTATCCTGGGATTTATGACTGACGTCTTGGGATATGATAGGCGGCGGAGCGCTTAACTGCGTTGCTACCACGAGCTTGGCCTGTGACAACAGCGTCAAGGAGCGCTCTGGCGTTCTGTGCCGTTTCAAGCTGCCTAATGGCAAGCTTCAGGATGGTGTCAATCAGATTACCAGCCTGAGCCAGGCTAAGGTCAACTAAAGAGAAGGGAACACTTGAGTGGGGGCTTGGGGAGTAGTCTTTCGTTAAGATGTTGTGTCTTGGCGAGGATTGATATATAGTAATTGGAACTCCATAATTACTTCAGTTGACTTCTGTGCTGCGTTTGCATGATCAGGTATCACGGCTTGAGGGTGCTTTCAGGAGTTGTTTCCAGGAACGAGGAATTGGATTCGAAATAGTGCGCGGGGTAGAGCACATGGTACCATGCGCTAACTCCGGCAACCCAAAGTCCTGGTAGATTCGCAAGACGATCGCACAGGCGAATCGTCACGTCGGGAATTCTGAGTGTGCGCAATAGATTGGCGCTCATGGCTCCTTGCTAGGTATCTCGTATCCAGGAGAGGGCCAGCAGAACTATGTGTCTCCGGGAACTGTCCCAGAAATGCAATGCAAACCTCTGGGAATACAACGCCAACTTGGCGAACGCGGTCATTACCTTATAGAGACTGAGAGCAGCGCAAGGGCCCGGGGTGACCGAACCAACGAATGTTTCGGGAGAGGCACGAGACGCAGACGGAGCAGTGTCGCACAGAAAGCATCACCATGGAATGGTGATCGCAACTCGATCGCGCTGACGATGATGCGCCCAAGTAATTAATCACCATGGACGCCATCCCAATACTAATTTATTCCGTGAGTATAGATAAAATAATCGCGATCCTCGCCGTCGTCAGCGTTCTGGATGAATCGGGTATCGAGCACCTCGATTGAGCCGCTGCGCTCGCGGCAGCGGGAATGTGTGCATTCATCTCACTTTGTGTGTAAAGTGTTTGACATAACTGATCAAAGTCGCAGCGCCTCGACGACAGTTTCAGTAGCAGGTTAATAGGCTGCTCTTGAGATTCGCCAGAAGGGTAACTGCGGGTTAGAGAAGATGGAACTCCAAATGTCCCTCGCAGGTGTATGATTCCAATCGGTGATAGTAAACGAACCAGCCGATCTTGTATTCGGTGGCCAATGAGCACCGCCTTGTTACAGGAACAGTAGTGCTCGACGAGATCAGTGGCGCTTGTATAACCATCTGCCTCATTTGGCAACTCCGAAAAGTTCCTTCGGCGTTGGTCGGCGCGGGATTGCGCAACCGTTACACTGGCTCCTCGAACGTTGATGTCGTTTGAGCCTCCGGGAAGCAAGGCCGATGAGAACAACATGGCGAAGTCAGATTGACCGATGGCCCATCTTGAAAATCTCAGCTTGTAGAGCACAAGACCTTGCCCTTACTGTCAGCTTGCTCCAGCAAGGCTGTCATCGGGCCCGAGTTCTGTCGTCAACTTGAACGCGGGTCCGAAGGGGATAGCAAGACAATTTTGTCCGTTTTTGACTGGAGCTTGGTTTCTCTCGCAACCAAGGCCATTAACAGTGATTATGTCTTGGCAAGCTTCCATCGAGATGTTGTGAGCGGAGATCATGCACTTGTAGTCGAGGAGATAGTTGGCCAGGACCATCGTTGACTTCCATGTGAGTTATGCCCAGTTGCGTCAAGTCGTGTGCCACCCGCGTTGATAGTCTGATCAGAGGCAACGGATTCGATCCTTCAACTCCGTTGTGCACCACTTGTCAAAGTCCATGGGGGCCCGGCTTACGTCATGGCGTCCCAGATGTTCAATGTGATGCTCACAATTATGCGTGAGATCCCAGATGGATATAATAATGATAGGGAAATACATTTCCGACCGAAAAAACAATCTCACCCAATCTTTGAGCTCGAATGGAGCGAAGCCGAAATTCAAGTTGAACGTTTCGCCGAATATGACGGCAAATCAGTGGCAAATGCTCTGATTCGCAACAGGACTGAACAGATGCACACGACGTTGGGGCTTGACATGCAGAACTACGTCCTACACGTCCGCAAAAGATTTCCCGGCTCAGGAGACAATGAAGGCGGCTTGTTCTTAGCTTTGGAGTACTCCAGGCCGCGATTCGTACTATTGATCCTGGTTGAACATCGCAAGTCCGAACCCGCGGTGAGCCTTCTAACAACAATACCGCTACGCACGGTAGATCCTGTAGGGAGCGAGCCGGGGTCCGGAGCTCCACGTCTGCCCTTGGCAGCAGAAGGCAATCAATCATCGCTATAATCGCCGCAAGTGCTGCTATCGGCTTTGGTATTGGTGTCTTCATAGTCCATGTCCACGTCTGACTCGGCATAATGCTCCTTGGAATCAAACTTATGGGGGCGAGACTTTGAGGATGGAGTGATCTGCTAATCAATGTCCTCAAGATTGCCATCGCACCCAACGTCAAAGTCGTCTGAGTCCTCAGTGGGCAACTCTGGGTGGAATGGCTTTTCGCCTTTGTATAAAACGTCCAGACGGCGAGCCGGGGTGACCTGATCGATTGATTTGTTGTCATGTCCAATAGGAGAGTCGCGCGCGACGTTGATGTGCTCTGATCAGAACGCATTCAATTCATCGAGGGTATTCGTCACGACATTGATGGACTTCATTTCATAAGGGTTTCACCGCGGATTCCTATACGTAGGATGAGCCAGCGAAGGACAGCATGACCAAGTACTCTGTGGGGACAATGCTGCT